AAAAAAAAAAAAAAAAAAAAAAAAAAGAAAAAGAAAGAAAGAAAGAAAGAAAAAAGAAAAAGAAATATATCTATCCATTTCAACAGTCAAGGGTACAACAGGTTGAGAAGAGTCTGTGTGAAAACTTTTGAAATGGGAATCAGATTCTCAAAAGCTTCATGAATTTATAATGCCGAAAGCAGCCAGGTTCACGGCTCCCAGACGTGCTTCCAACAGCATCTCCTCTTCAACAGCACCTCTCGTGGTGATCTGCGCTCAGCCAGGGCTTTGCCAGCCACAGCTCCAGTCACCTGGTCACAGAGAAGAGTCAAGTCAGTAGCTAATACATTTTAAATAACTCTAATTACTGTACATTGTTACAGTGTTCTACTATGTTACTAAGTATTGCTGTTTTATCTCTCACTATGCCTGACTTACAATTAAACTTCATCACTGCACATATGTGTGGGTGCACTTCAAGCATGCACTGGGGTCCCAGGTCTCTACCTGCAGGAGGTCAGAAGCACAGCTGCTCCAGCTCCTTGGGATGCGAAGGATGGGCAGTCGCTGTGGAGGTGTGGAGCCTGGCTCTGGAAGAAGCCAGCTGAGTTACTTGGTAGACTTATTTTCTTCCGTATGCCATACACATGGCTTCTGTTGTCCTTTTGTGGATCCATACCACTCACTGATATATGCTCCGCACACTTTATCAGTGAATGTGCCCCTTCAGCATGGAAGTCAGAACCTGTCACAGAGCTGTGTGATCCTCCACAGTTCCCTCTGAGGATGGCCAGTGTCAGGGCCACCTACTACAGGGTCTCTTCTTGCTTCTATCTGCACCCCCGTTCCTCCAACCAGCCAAGCATATGGGCCTGTGCTGTCCAGGTCCCCTGCCCAGGTCCTTCCCAGCGAAGCTAACCTCCATCACCCTGCTTAAGTGGCACCCCCAAGCGGCACATCCAAGCCCCTGGACTCAATCTGACTCATCTCCTCTTCAGTACTCAGGACTTTGATTTATTATATGTAAACTGGCCACAAGAACAGTAATCTCTGTTTTGCTAATAAGTGTAGCCCAAGGATTTAAGAATGTCTGGGACATAACAGGTATTTGGTAAATATTTGTAAAAGCTATAGAAATCTTTCCTTATGAATTCCTAAGACCAAGTTCAGTATCTGGATGTCAAGAAGATTATTTGCTGAGGTAAAGACTTGAGGAAGGAAGGAAACAAGGAGGGAGGGAAGGAGAGGGAAAGAAGCTGTCTTGTTAAAATTCCAATAAGTGTCACCTGGTAGCAAAGTAGTAGGAGCCTTGGGAAAACTTAATGGATTCCTTGTGCATGGTAAAGCAACACTGTGAAACCACGCCTAAGGACAGCCACTGAGAAGTACTTGCTCATGCACGGAGCCTCTCTATGGTGTGTAAGTTCCTGGAGGGCAGAGACAAAAGCCAACTCAGAAAGTTGCTTGGTGGAGACCAGGAAGTGACAAGCATCTCAGTGACCATTAGACAAAAACAGCTGTTTGTTTTCTGGGAAGACTTGGTTCACAGGAGTTAATAACAATAACAGCAATCACTGTCCTTACAAAAGTCGTGAGGTGGTAATTATTGCTTTTCTCATTTTGTCTCTGTCATGTCATACCAAGTGATGAAACAAATCTTATCTCCATAAAAAGCAGTCTACTGACGGTGGTGCACACCTGTAATCCCAGCACTCTGGGAGGCTGAAGCATGAGAATTGAAAGTTTGAGCTTCATTTGGGCAACTCAGTAACTTAGTGAGGCATGACCCACTCTCAAAATAAAAAATAAGGGCCACAAATGTAGCTCAGTGCCAAGGCACTGGATCCAATCCCCAGTACCACAAACAAAAAATCCAAAACGGGCCACAGTGGCCCTGAACTAGCCACACCTTTTACTGCTCTTTTGACACGTGTGGCCTTGCTGACCAGGGGCGACTATCTCCCTCTCTCCCAGTGGACTGGGCTGTGTGTGTCACAGTTCAGACCAGCTGCTCTGGAGCACCCTAGCACCTTGCTTGGTGCTCCCACTGCTCTGGCTCCCTGTGTCCAAGTCTACTTGTTGTATGCCAGACCCCAAACCAGACTGGATGTCCCCATTTTGTTCATATATTAATTGGGTTATTTGTCTTTTTATTGTTGATTCATAAGTGTTTTTAATGAACTCTGGGACACAAATACCTTGTCAGATATATGATCTGTAAACATTTCCTTCCCTTCTGTTTTTGTTTTTGTTTTCACCTTTTCCCCACTATTGCACAAACGTTTTTAATTTTGATGAGGTCTAATCTTTTCTTTTCTAATCTGTGATTTAGGATGCTAATCTTTCTTTTCCCTGTTCTTTTGCTTTGGAGTTACACCCAATAAACCATTGCTTAACCCAAGGTCACAACGGTTTATGTCTGTGTTTTATTGTAGGAGTGCTATAGTTTTTCATCATGTGTATGAGTCTATAACTCATTTTAAATTAATCTCCTCATAAGAATTGAGGTAGGAATCCAATTTCTGCCACTCTTTATTGAAAAGACTATTTTTTTCTATGAATTATCTTGGCAGCCTTGTTAGGAAACCAGTTGGCTGTGAGTGGATTCTCTCTAAGTCATTTAAACCTTTTTCTGACTGGGGATTTAGCTCAGTGGCACAGCACCTGCTTCGCAAGTGCAAGGTGCTGAGTTCAATCCCTGGTATAACACAAAAAGAAGAAGAAAGAAAGAAAGAAAGGGAAAGCAAGCAAGCAAGATTCTTTCAAATTCATGTTCATTACTGTTATGTTTTTATTTAGGTTGGAATAAAAGAAAAGGGGGCATTCTGGTTGGTTAAAAGAGGAATCACAGTGAAACACATAAGTTCATTTCTGAAAATGATGAGTTGACTCGGCTACTGAACTAGAGATAACATTTACAACATTGTGATAACATTGAGACATGTTTTAAAAGTTTATTTATAAGGCTTTTCTTTGTCTGGTACCTTTACTTACTTTTTTTTTTTTTTTTTTTTTTTTTTTTTTTTTTTTGAGGCAGGGTCTTCCTTTGTTGCCTAGGCTGGTCTTGAACTCTTGGGTTCAATGATCTTCCTGTCTTGGCTTCCCAAAAGGCTGGGACAACAAGGTATACCCTACCTACCTGGCTTTAAGTGTGATTTAGGATGCTAAAGTTTTAGAAGTAGATTGTGAGTAGTCTTTTGAAGTCTGGCTAAAAAATTTAAATTGTGTTGATACAAAGATGATATAGGAGATGAATAGGGCCTCTAATTGAGATAAGGGAAATATAATTCCCAACCTGTTAGCTGTTTGATATGCCGAATTTGTGTTCTCTAAAATCACAGAATTAGTTCCAGGAACAAGGGAGGTTAAGCACAGAAAATGTTTATTGAGAGGAGAGCTCCTGAGAAGCAGGATGGGTCCCAAATGGGTATCCAAGGACCCCACTTTTCAGGGGAAGTTTTATAGAGCAAAAACCACATGGATACAATGTAAGTTAAAGCTATGATCAGCAAATAAGGTTATAAGTATAATCACTGAGATAATACTCACCCAATGGGGAAACAAGGCATGTAACAAGTGTGCATGGAAAGAACAAAGACTTTTTCTAGGAAGTGATGGGTCCACAGGTTTTGGTCAGCCCTATCTGACTGCCTTTCATATTTTGTCTTCCTCTCCTTTTCCTCCTCCTCCTTTTTTGTTTTTGGTATTGGGGATCGAACTCAGGTCCTTGTGCTTGCGAGGCAGGTGGTGGAACCTCTGAGCTAAATCCACAGCCCTCATATTTCTATTTAATTTAGCTGTCTATAATAATGTCCTTGAAGTAATACATAGCTAAGTTTTAAAAACAAGCTAACCAGTAACTAGATACAGAGGAAATCTGGAATAGATTACAAAAAAAAAAATAACACAAGGCAGGGAAACTGGGAATGCAACAATCCAAGGCTAAAGGCAATTAGGTTTGTTATTAGAATCATTGCAACAATGAGCCTAGAAAGAATAGGGAAGTTATTTTTTAAAATTGGTTCAAAATAAGGAGGCAGTGAATAGCTGGGGTGGAGGAAAATGAATACAATAACTACCTGTGCCCTTCAAAATTTCAAGTTTAGTTCATTAGCTAGCATGGAAGCTGAATGTCATTGTACTGAAGTATAATGACACAAAGACAGAGACTTGACAGAAACTGAGTCTTGGGCTGATCTAAGCAGCTCTGGGCAGCAAAGACCAAGAGACACCAAAGACAGACAGTGTTTATTCATTACAAGTGTGGGCAGCGGGGAAGCTGGGCAGGCCTTGGGCACCTGCTGATGACAAGTATCAAGCAGGCAGGCCTGGAGAATGAGGGCACAAGCATGTCTTTGCTGATGAGAACTAGTGGTTAATTCAGAGGGGAAGAATTGGCTGGAAGTTGACCTTGGCTGGAAGTGAATCAGCTGGTTGGACTGTTGGTCAAAGTCCAGTTTAGAGTCAGAGCTAAATGTGGGAGTGGACTTACTGTCATTTTCTGATGAGATGAATGGTGAAGACTCTGAGGCCATCTTTAATCCTTCACTTAGGGATTAAATTAAACTCTGCTAGAAAATGCCTTCTAGTACATGTGACACAAAACAAACTATTTCAAAATGTTCATTGTTCTTCTTGTATCTTTAGCTTTTTCTCTTGAACGAAAAACAGTTTTTTGTGATAAGGAGGTACTGATTTTTTTATTTAGGTGAACTAAAAGTTGATCAAGATACATAAGACAAATATAAATAAATAAGGCCAAGCAAGGATTTAGCTCAGTGGTTCTGCTTCTTGCCTCGCTGCCTCACAAGCATGAGGTCCTGAGCTTGATTCCCAGAACCAAAAAAAAAAAAAAACAAGCAAGCATAACATTCATTGTATGTTATCTGATGTTTGATTTTTATCTTGTTTAGGAGGTAGAGAATAAAATTCCAACACAATGTCTCTCTTGAGAGGTGCTAATCCAGCTAAAGACAGCCAGATAGCAGAATCTCACCAGTGGTATTCGGTGCGTACTTAAGTCCTAATATATCATATGGGGAAACTCTACATTCAAGAATAAAAAAAAGTTAACTCCAGGGAGCCATGAGGTTACCACAATTTCCTTTCAGTTTTGTCCAAATAAAACAAGCTTTCCTGAGGGTGAGAGCACAGGTGAGCATTGGTTACCAGATGATGGTAATCAGTTTTAAAGAGTCATTTGTTAACTTCAGTTTACTTTCTGTTCATTGCTCTTGCAATAGACCTGTCTGGGATTAAAAGGAAACACTACACTGGACCAAATAACTCAATTCCTCCTGCTTTTTCTTTTCTTTTTTTTTTTTTTTTTTT